ACTGACGAGGTAGCCTCGGATGGTTCCGGTTCAAGTTGGAGGTGGTTCAAAAAAAACCTTTTGGGGCTTCAATAAGTTGCCTTTGCTTGGCTCTGAACGTCAAAGTGTTTGAATGGAATAATAACTGTTCAAGGCCCAGAAAGTTTTTTTTCATTTCCCAGGGCCAAAGGCATCTTCACTTTTGGACCAAAAGACGAGAAGGCACATGGAAACCTGTGCCCCAACCGGAACCTGTGCGGATCGCTAGCTGACGAGGTATGGGCAGGAATAACTTTTTCCATCGGGAAAAGTTTATTTTTCACAGTACATTATATATAATTGTACGAACATATACATTATCTATGGTCCGGAGGCCTGCAAATCCATTTCTGCAGGCATTTGCAGGCCCGCGCTCTGGTGCGCTCTGAATTCGCTGTCCAAGAGTTGAGGTCCACAGATTGGGGTGATCCCACCCCGTCGGGCCCAAAAACCATTGCATATAAGAGTCCGTATACATGACGGTAGCACTTGGTCACCAGTATGGGGCCCTACATGGTCGTTGGGATCCCATATCCTACATGGGCTGTGAATTGTTTCAGTCAGCGGCCTTGCAAGGATCCAAGAGGCAAAATTGTCGATGGATTTCTATTTATTGGAAACTGTTTCGATTGAGTATACTACTCTATACTACTCCAGGATCTCAGGAGGCAAGTGCCACACCTAAAATGCTTTGTACAAACTTCTAGAGCCTAATGGACTTCGAGGCGTTGATTTCCAGGAACCGTGTTGGGGACAGTGGGATGGCCCCATTCAGAGCTTATAGATCTTTAGTGGGAACAAAGGTGCAAAAGCAAAAGGGTCAAAATAGCAAGCCAAAAGGGAGTTGCAACCCGGACAGAGGAAAGGTGCAGTTCTCCTCAATGGATAGCACATCACATGGTGGTATATCAAAGTTTGGAGCTCAGTAGCTTAACATACCCTCTGACTCACTAACATGGAAGTGTAAAATTGTCCCTTGGAATGCTACAGTACTTTCCTCTACCAACAGGAGGTTTTCCACTTCCATGTTAGTGGTCCGAGTATCGATGAGTGTAGCTTGCTTTCCTATAGCAAACCTCTAGGGTTCCAACCAGCCGTAGAAAGCCCTGGGCGAGGACCGTAGGACCGTAGGGAGTAGCCACCTCCCAAATTAGTCCCAAGCGCTTTGATCCCCGGCAAAATTTCCTCTACAAATTGTGTCAACCCCTGTATTGGAAACGAATTGGTCGTGTGAATTTTACAGGGGATCCGCTTGGTCAGAATTTCAAAGGAGTGTTTCTCTTTGAGACAGACATTGGCCGGCCCGACAGAGCTGTCGAAATCCCAGAGAAGCTGGCCCGACAGAATGGCCTGAGTAGATTCTAGATGGTTCATCTAGAACCATTGTATGCCCTAGAACCATTGCGACCCATACAACCATTGCGACCCATAGAACCATGTGCGAGCCGTCCATCGGATTGAATCACCGGTATCACCGGTCACCCGGTGACGGTCACGGGGTCCGCACCCCTTCGCGCCATAACGGGCCCTCGAGGAAATGGTGGACGATCTCTCCGGCTTGGGGTTACGACATGTAGGCGCCGGCTCGTCGGACTCGTGTGTGTGTGTGTTTTGTTTTGTTAAGCGCCAGGATGCGCCAGGGTTTCAGGGTTTTAGCTGTTTGTTTTACTTTAGTTTGTTCAGTGCAGAAGAAAGAGGATCCCTAACTGAGACTGAGGATCCCTACTGGACTCAAACTACACAGAGGATCGAGATCCTGAAAGATAGTCCCCACTGCAGCTTTGTGGCGTTTTCCTTTACTGATATCTTTGCTTCGACTGCGGATCGAATTCGGAAGTCCATTTGACGCGCTAGGTGTGCAACAGTTCAACACTGTCTTGAGATCAGATTTTCCTGTCGTTTTACAGCCAGAATTAGATCTATGAAGAACGACAGTCCTGAGCAATTGTGGAGAACACTGCATAGAAATATTAGAAATTAGCCCTTGGCGTACCACCCGAAGCCATGAAGGTTTTTGCATTACCCTCCTGGTAGTCACTCTCGCCGGATCTTCAGACACAGCATGACATAGCGTAGAATCTTAGAACCTCGAGCCATGACACCGGTCACCTGGCTGACCTGGCTACCCGGTTGTACCCTGCAGATCCCTGCACTACTGGTGGATTTGTTCCTGTTCAACGTCCTGTTGGGCACCTGCTTCTGCATGACTCTGCATGGCTTGGAGCCCATGGACGAGGTCACGGTGTCGAAGTCGTAAGTATTCGTAAGTGCGTTGACACACGCAGGTCCAGTGCACATCCTTCAGGTTCATCGTGTTTTTCCGGACACAGCATCGAAGAACAACCGCAGGGTATGGTGTCCCCATCGAGCTCTTTGCGCCCTTCACGGACTCCTGTGTGGCTGTGGTGAAGGATTTGGTCGCGAGGATGCCCAAAGGTGTGCCTTGGATGAGACGGGAGGGGGGGTCCACAGCGAAGATGGGAGGTGCCGTCGAGTCGAGAAAGCAGTCGCACTAGAGTCTAATAAGAGGACAGACATGCTCTAACTACTGTTCCCCACCTGCAAAGGTGAGGGTTGCTAGGTTTTCTCAGAGATGTCCACCGCTCCTCCCTCCTCCTCCCAATCCTCCTGCTCCTCTTCAACCGCGAGTGGTAGCAGTGACAGCACCGCCGATCGCAGTGGGCACCACCAGGCCTCAACAGATACAATGCAAATTGTTCAAAATTCCAGATAGTATGCAAGAAAAGATGCCAGATAGAATGCCAGATAGAATGCCATGGGGCAGGCAGTTATGCAGTTTTACATGTTAAATCAGGTGATTATGATTGTACCAGTTTCAACGTCCAAGGGCTCGGGTGGTGGAAAGTCCATGAGTCTTGCACCAGAATTGGACACAGAGCCCACCATCCTAGTCATGCCTGTGCATTGTGTAGGCTGCCTGGCCATTTCGAATTTTGAATCTGAGTACAGTAAGGCTTTGATATTTAGACCTTTCGAATCCTCAGTGTTGCCAGAAGTTTGTTCCACTTTTCCCAATTATGAATGTAGCCGAGTCGACCCCGTTCAAACTAGCAGCTAGAGGAACCTACTCGCGCAAAAACTGATCTTTGGTCACCAGCCAGTTCACTCGATTCCATCAAAACGTATTCCCCAACAAGTCACATCCCCAAACAGCACAACTCCGCTCCAATCTTCGCTCCGCCGGCGGCGCACAAAGGAGTCCACCAAGAAGATCTCGTGCACCATCGTTGGAATGCACGAGGCTGAGGCGGGGAAGTGGCTGGTTGTGGGAGGCATTGGATGGTGGTTGGTGGTTGGATGGGAGGAGTATATATAGACCAAAGGCAACTTGTAGATATCTCACACTACGGAAACCACGTGTCACGTGATGCGGCATTTTGCTTGAAAGAGATCCATGTGGATAGGGGCCGCGGCATTGGTCGCGTGTGAGGATTCTTGGTGCTGCGGAGTGACTTGGAGCTTGAAACCCCTTTTCCTCCTCTCAGGCAGAGAAGAAGACATGGCCCTGAAATGATTCTTCACGGGGAGGGACACGTTGAGCTTCCATGTTTCGGTAGGATCCACATGCACACCTTCTGAGAAGGATCCTGTCAACACACCTGATACATTCTGATACTGTATATCCCCAACCTCCCTTCCCGGAGGGCATGTGTTATACACGCTGACCTTTAAGCCTGGTCATGCATCCTCCGGCCTTGACACGGTTGGAAGGCCTGATGTCCCAGCCCCCCTCATGTTGAGTCACATGAGTGACGCGTGCCTCACTTGACACTGCCCTGTGCACAAAGAAACGCAAAGCATCGCAACATGGGGGGAGTCATCGTGGTGCGTATGGGGATGGGTCAACAACTAGCCTGGTCCACCATGTAAGCCGGTTTCACGACCGGCACCAGGTAGGTCAACCGGTCGGTGACGCTCGTGCCTAGTTCTCCACAGCCACATAGGCACACTGATCATGTTTGGGCGGAATCGGTCCAGAATGAGCCATGAGATGGTCATGAGCAGTATAGCGCTGGCGAAGCCAGCAGAGTCCAACCACCCAGCCCACCGTGGACGACCCGGCCAGGCTTTGAAGGTATGTTAGGTAGGCTTTGCTGGCGCCCCTTCCCTCAGCGCCCTCAGGGGCCCTCAAGGCCCTCTTCCCCACACTCCTGGCCTGTTTGGACTTCCATGGTCCAATTCTTATGTTTGGATCCTGTCAGGCTGCTTCGGGACTTGACAATTGGTCCTATACCCGACCATCCATGGGACTGGAAGAGTTGCTTATTTAATCTTACAATGGATAGATCTACACCATTGTAAACCTGTGTAGAACTTGTACAACTCTAGCTACAACCCCAATAGATGCTTTGGAAGCTCAAAGCCGCAGCGGGTCTTGGGGCCTCGGTGTTCGGCCCTCCCGAGCTGCGAGATGAACCGCGAGGAACGTGACGTGCCCGAACACATGATGGTGGAGGGCTTCCGGTGGTCCATTGGCACCTGGGTCAAACTCTGGTGGATGGGGGCAATGCCGGAGATCTTCAACGAGCTGCAGACGAATTCGGAGGTCAGACGTCCAATGACCTCACACATGGTATCAAAGGCTTGGTAGATGAAGGTGTCCTCTGAAGTAGTGGCAGACTTGAACAGTGAGTAGTTCATAACCAGCGGCTACGGATGTAAATCAACTCAACTAATCTGTGCCATTAAATGTTGTATACAGACAAACACCATCGGGCGTGTGACTATGGATACGGTGCTTGTCCGATTCCCATCAAGTGTCTACTCGGTGGTTTATTAGAGATTCCAACAGTTTTGGCGCAAACTGCCCCGTGGGTCAACTTTGGCTATACATTTACTAGCGCAATCTCACAACGCCCGTGGAACTTCCAACGCAACCACATCCGACAATGTTTGTGCAGGACTTGGCAATATGTTCAGTTCCACTCTTGCAGATTAACATTACTCTCAAAACCACTGGGTTGTAGAGGAAAATGGTCTGCAGGGATTTTCTGTGTCCCTGTTAGTCTGCAAGGGAGTAATGGAGATGTTCTCATTGGACCACCATCTTGTAGGAGCAAATCATTTTCACATCTTGAACCTTCCTTCAGATTCGACTTCCATTTTCTGCTTCACGAGGCCTGGTGGCGCGCTTGCTGATGCGCATCATCACTGAGGGCTCCACCGCAGTGATGTCCGGCCACCCGTGAACTCCTTCAGCGAAATCGTTTCCCCGGGAGACAACTCGGAGAGCCTCCACGACCCCCTGGTTGTTGGTTTAGAAAAGAGCGGACATCCGTGTTCCTTTCCAACAGAGCGTGTCATGGTTAAATCCACGGTCCAGCCAGACTGTCAGCACCAATCTGCAAGCGCAAGTTTCCTTTCGTGATTGCTGAACAACAACAAAAGGTGGTCCGTTCGATACTAGGGGCATTGGCGGTTAAGAAACATTGCGGTTCGACGGTCTTCTATTCTGTTCGATTTCACGTTTCCCCCTGAAAAGGGCTACTCATGAGTTCCGAGGAGCTCATCGAAACGGTCAAGGACATGTTTGCATCTCCGTGATTTTCGTCTTTCAGATTTCAGGCAGGCCATCTACCAGGACAGTGCCAAGCTTCTCCGACATGCGCTGCAAGAAGCGCCCCGTGTTCCTAGGGCTTAAGGAGGATGAGGGACATTTTGGGCCTCAAGTGGATCACAGAATTCAATTGAGTGCGCAAGGGCTTCTGGGCAGAGTGAAATCCATGCATGCTTGCTGCTTAAAGTGAAATTGTGGGGTACCTTGTGGGGAAGTGATATCAACTTCACAGTATGCTTCCAGCATGAACATAGGTAACTGGTCACCAAGTGGACTTCAAGATCATAATTAATCATAATTATATATAAATATATTATATTAAACATATATATATAGATATTGTATGTCAAGGTTAACTTGGTTTAACTGTGTACATGTAATTGATCATAATTGTACATTGACATATTGTTCAGGATTGTTTCAGGTATTGTTAATGTAGTTGATTCAGTCCCGGATTCACTGGGTTAATGACTTAAACTAGTGCCAAATCAGTTCTTGGGTGACCTGTAACTGGGGTAACAGTAATCTAGGAACCAAATCATTAGTGCAAGCGCTATCCTACATCCAGTCAGTAGGAGCATGCGCCCCACTCCCTTGCTTAGGCGCCTGCTTAATTAAGGAGGCAGGGCATAGCGGGCAAACAAACAACAAGAGGACGAACCCAAATGATCAAGTGAGGTTTTGGGGGGACGGCTCAGCTCGTTTTTGGGCACCGGACTGGGGGTACTCAGACGACTCAGACAGTGCGACTCTGAAACAGCACCAAAGTCGACATCGGATCCGGGAGTCGTTACTATCGATCCTATAAGTCGTTACAATTGAATTCACAACCAAACTAATACTCTTGGGCAACCCTTCCTATTCCTATTGACCCAACCCGACTTGTCACGCACTGGTCAAGTAGTCGACGCTTTGATGACTTCGAAGCACAATGCTCATACGGATGTCATTTCGCCGCATGAAGCGCAATGGTCCCACACAGTTGAACAGACCGTCCATGTTCATTGGAACTTCCCGCCCCCACCGACCAAGACCACACCGACCAGATAGTATTAACCCCCCAACTCACAAATTGAGTGTGCTGCCTTGTTTTTATTGCATGCGTTGTTCACCAAAAACAAGTCCAGTTGCGGAAACAAGAAAGAATCATAAAGAATCACTTGTTTTTTTCCCCGACATGGCTCATCACCGCTTTCCCCCTGTGCTCATCCCAGGGCCAGCGTGCGCTTCTTCAGCTGAGAGTGCGCGTGGGCAGCCAATCGATCTCACCACTCTATTGGGCGCTCAGGAGTCTGCGAACGGTCTGCGAACCTGCCAAGCGAGTTCGGTCGAAAGAGGACGCTACGAACGGAACAAAGGGCACTACGAACGGAGCAAGAAGCTACGAACGTAGCTCCTGGCCATGCTACTAGTAACAAGAGGACGCTACTAGTAACACTATATATATATAATATATATATACTGCCTACATTGACCCCAGGTCAACCACCCCAATGTATCAAACGATGGCATACATGGAGTGCGACTGGGGACCGAGGGGATGAAAGCCGTTGTTTTGAGCGAACGAGTCGACATGCACATGATCATGGTGATTTGACCCGCCGTGGAACCCCGAGAAAAACAACGATGAAACATGTTTCTCCTTGTTGACTGAAGAAGATCGTAACACCAAAGCCTGCAAAAGCCAGCAAAAGCCATCCCGATGCCCCCACTCTGCGCAGAAGCAAGCTCGGCCCAGGAAATGACCCTCTTGACTAGGCTTTGGCATGTGCATGAACCCTCATTAACCATCAATCCCTAGGGATCCAAGTACCTTCTCAGAAGGTGATTAGAGGCACTGTTATGTAGGTTTGGAGGGTCCAAGTACCTTCTGAGAAGGTACTTGGATCCCTAGGGAATATATCAGACTCGTTTCCGTGGAAGGGATCACCCGCCTGACAATCTTTAGAGATTACCATTAATATAATGGATTCACAATGATTCATAGAACAGAGTCAGCAAGAAGGGCATGTCGTAGAACTTTCTCTGTTATTTCTGCTGCAGGATTACAATAATTGCTGAAGTAGATGATGTTTTCCTTTAATCCACCGAGTCATTCGTCGGCTCCCACGCCTCCCGGGGCTGCCGTCTCTCTCGGCTTCCCATGCAGCACTAGGAGCGGCGCACACACCGCGGCTCGGACGATGTTGGAAGATGTGCTCACCATCCGAGCGGAGACTGGGACACTGAAGAACCGCTGGGGTAAGGTGTGATATCGGTGGTCAGTCACTTCACTCGAAGATCACACCAGCAAGGTGTCGGCCAGTGTCGGTGACGGCCAAAGGTGAGGGTTTGTAGAAGATATATAAGAAACGGCCACTCAGATGGTGACGAACTGGTTTCCTGGGTTGAAGCATGTTCTCGGGGCGCAAGCTGAGGTGGTAGGTGGCCAGGTGAATTGTGTTGTCGCACTTGTGGCTCTCAAAAGAAGCCAGTCAAGTTTGGGAAGAGTGGCAACCTGACAGCATCTCAATTGTTGAGCTGGTGCCAACATCATGTGATTGTGATCATATGTGATCTACGCAGCCTGGCCCTGAACGATTCACCCCACACATCTGGATTGGAGCAGGAAAAGATCTTTTTTAGATGGGGGTCCATATAAACCACCTTTTGGGGATTGTGCCGCGGCCAACGGAGCACAGAAGACCTCTCACAGAACCCCCGCTCACGGATCCGAGTCCGGACCCGACCCCTTCGCAGGGGTCAAAGCCTCTAGTTCACAGGGGTCGAAGGGGCCCCGAACCCAACCCTTCCCAGTGGATCCCAGGCAAACCACTATATATAAGGAACCAGGGTTTCGTTCGGTATATGGCTTTAGTTAAGATAGAACCACTGGTCACCTGCTATAGTGGTAACTATATAATGATGCCTGGGCGTGTTTTTGGAGGTTCCGGATCCAAATCGGGAAATGAGACCATGAGCTTTAGGAATCAACCTCCGTTTGCCTTGGAGTCATTCCCGTTCAAGACACCAATCAACCTCCGTTTGCCTTGGAGTCATTCCCGTTCAAGACACCTCACTGAGGATCGAGATCGGTACTACTATGGCGTGAATGATATGTTCAAGCCGCACTGCAGCACGCACGTGGGACGGATCACCATTGCATAATAGGTGAACACGACATGAGTATCCGGTATGTGGGGCAAGCTTTTAACACCCGATGATGATCTCCAAGTCAAGCTTTGTAGATTTGTGGGCCCCCCGAAGATCCTCAAGTCGTCCCAAACTGCACTTCCACTTTGGGAACCTCCGAAGTGACCGGCGGTGCCTTTTTACTTAAAGTACTTTCAATTGCCCAAGCATGCCGCCTTCGCCAGCAACCCAGTCTCGTGGGGCTTCCAGAGGCTTACAGGTCCGGTTTAGACTGGTGACCGGGTCCCTGAAGTTTCGAAACATTTCCGTTCGTAGCGTTCGATCGCTCCGTTCGTAGCGATGCCAGGAGCCCCGTTCGTAGCGTCCTAGTAGCTTCACAAGTGATTGATCGAGTTTGCCACGTTTTCCAGGAAACACCGCTGTTTGGAACAATGTTTACCTGCATTCTCAGAGGCCAAAATGCTGGTATGTGTGGGTGTGTGTTTCACTTTCTGCCTGTACTAACTGGTCCAAAAACCGCTACTGTAGCCCATAGGGACCTTGGCAGGATTTGAAGAGCATTGGTTGGACCCCAACGCAAAGAACTCCATTTGGGCCCTTGAATGTCCTTCGACCATGGCACGTCTCATGACCAGTGACCAGTAGGAAAGCACTCACCAATCGCGAGGGACTACTGGATGAAATCAAAGATTTAACAAGTAATTTGGTAGATCGCTAACACTTGCTAAAACTAGGAGGCAGAGTCTAGGACCTGAGTAACCCTTGTTCAAAAATCCCGAGTTTGCCAAAGAACTCGATCACCACGATGATACTCAACTTGGGTTTCATGTCCCACGAGCAAGCAACCCATCGCGTTGGGTTCGAGAATTCCAATGGCACGGTGACTCCCCAGAGACTATTTTTCATAATTTTGACCTTTGGTTGTTCCTAGTAGCGTTCTTGTTCCTAGTAGTAAGGTCAAGAGCCCCTAGTAGCGTTCTTGCTCCGTTCGTAGCGATGCCAGGAGCCCCTAGTAGCGTCCTAGTAGCTTCTTGTTTTGAAGTTATTTGAGACTTCTCCAACTTATGGATTCAAGCACTATGGATTTGATGCCCTTTCTTTAGAAGCCACCTATGGATTCTTCTTCACCGGTGCAGGCGCCACGGGTCAGGGTCCTGGCGGCTGCTGTGGGGCGATATCCCTCTCTTTCGTCTCGCCATAGGCATCAGCCCACTATCGCAGCAGACATCTTGCAAGAAGCACCAAAGTTGGTGAAGCCGTCCGGGAACTTGGACGGATGTGATTTGTTCTTTTTGGTTGAGTATATATATATATATATTATAGTATTTTTGAATTGTTGTGATCACATGGTTGTTGAAGTGTTGTGGTAGGTGACCGTAGGTGTTCAAGGCTTGACTGTTTATGTACTGAAGAATCATAAACCGTAAACCTTCCATCGTCATTTTTCTTCGCAAGCCGTGGACTCCATGAACTTGCCCCTGCTACTGTTCATTCGCAGCTTCCTGCTACGTTCTGCTACGTTCTGCTCCTGCAAACGGGAACTCAACATGATTGCTAAAAATATCTGTCAACAGACTCGTCAGACTCTGATTTCAGGTGTCCAAGCAACAGATTCCCTGGCTCCGTGAGCTTCCCGCAGGTTTTTGGATGGTTTGATTTGGCGATCGCACAAGACCAAGGACAGTTCGCGGGGTTCCCGGCACTGGCAGTTTCTTTTTTCCGGTTTGAGCGACGTTTGACACAAGAAGCCCTTTAAATACCATGTCTTGTAAGAGAAGCCGGACCTCGCCCTGGAAGAACACAGGTGCATGCTGAACTGCTGAACTCTGTGCGATCACTTCAAACTGGTTTGAAACTTTCCAACTGTTATAAATTAGAGCCAGATGATACAGAATTATACGCACAGATGAACAAGATCGAACATGCAAGACCTGAGAACCTATCATGTGGGTTGCACTCGCAAGGATCAAACGGTAGCTGACTGATCTGGACGGTATGCAATCCGCAGCCTAGGTCCAAATTCCCACCCCCATGATTCAGGACGGCTTGCGGCCGGTGGTGTACTACATGGAGCATTTGCTGCAAGACCCCGATGAGGATCAGATGATCTCACGTGCGTTTGTGAGCTTCGTGCAATTTAAGAATCCGGGCATCATCGTCCACCCCATCTTGATCTTCGTGCCTCGCTGAACCCGCGACTAGCGACGTAGCACCGCACCGTCCAGAATTCAACCCCCCCCGGCTTCACAATGTCTGATAGGAGCCCCATAAGTTGAACCATTTCTAGGTGGTTTTGATGTTCCACATTTTTCAACCGTGACTTGTGATCATTTAGCCCTTTGACTCATTTGTTTGATGTGAGTTGAAACCACCAAGATGTACTTTCATGATTCACTCGGGGATTCTCGGTTGCCATCCACCCATGTGGATCAACCTGACGTCCGATTCGGCGAGGGGAGGGAGGGTTGGAGTGACGCTTGGACCGGGTTTGGCATTCAACACCAAGCTGTCTGCTGTCATGTCAGTGAATGTGTCCGCCTTCATGTAATGAACCTATCCTCAAACGATCCATGAGCAACATTCACCACCAACGACCACAACATGTAGGATATGTAGGCTAGTACTGTAGGTACTCGTAGTAGCCTAAGGCCAGGCCAGGCCACCAAAAGGCGTCGCGGGCTGTGTGTCCGCAGCGTTTCCTAATGTTCGTATAAGATGACCTTGGAACTTTTACTCTACACCCCGAAGTGTCAAAGGTCACAATTCCTGTGCAAATGTGCAGTGTCTTTTTAATGTGTTTAGGATGATCTTAGAGCTGATCTTTAAAGCATATTTGGGCCACCATGGATCCGGCCTCAAACAAGAAAAAGTGGCATCGAACGACACTCGGCTCAGGTCTCAGATCTCGTTTGGGAGAAGCTGGCGCCTCGACGGTTCAGTCTCAACGGGCGGGCCATTTTTGGAGATGCTTTGTGTGTTCATGGCTGATTCTACTGAGTTCTGGACGCACTCACTAACTCACTAGCTGTGGGATGTTGATGCATGTCCATCCATTTCATCACAGGAGCTTGTGGATCCTAAGTATATCACTTATAGCTAGTCATTCGTGAAACCACCGATTTGCAACTTCAACTCACCCAAAGCAGCTGCATCTCTTCTCTTCGGGGTTTGGAGCGGCCATCCCAGTCCGTGTCACAGCCTTCAGTGTGGTTGAAGGGCAGCTGGGCCGTCCGCTGGCCATTGGGACACGATATGTTCGACAGGAACCCTGCACCAGTTGGGGGAAGGAGACAAGTTGCAAGAAAAATTATACATCTAAGAAGATCTTCAACACCTGGAATATGTTGTGAAGCTGATGTAGGAAACTACTCATGGAAATCTTCAAAACTGGAGGATTTTGTGTAGCTGAAGTTGGAAGCCACATATATATTATATATTATGCTATGTTGTTTACCTGTCACCCTTGTTGATATTTTGTCAGTTTGCCCTTGTCCGGATTCGTCGACAATATTGTTATTTTTTGTGTTTGTGGATATTGTGTGATTTTCCTCCTTGAGATGCTGGTGTCTTTCTTCCAGCAGCCTGGTTGGCACGGTTCTTTTCTATGACAAGCAAGTCTGTCGTGTCATTTGGCGGCTAACTGAGAGCCCTTTCTGTCGGCTTTGATGATATGGTTTGTCTAGTCTAGTTTGTTTAAGCCAAATTCATTGCAAAATAGTTATCAAAATATTGTCTATCATTGTCTATCTCTAGAGGATGTACATCATATGCATATGTTGATGTCCAAAGCCAAAGCTCTGAACTCTATGCTAGCATGGAGGGCCCGGACAGGTGCGGAGCTTCTTCATGTGGGACCAGGTCTTTCGGATGATTAATTTCGTGATCTTCCTGTTGGCCGGTTGTGGCTCGGCGGGAGATGATGTACAGCTCGTGGCTCGTGTCCGGCGTCCGGCGACGCTGGGGAGAACACCCGAACACCTCCGCCCCTCGGGTTCGGGAAAAGAGCTACCAAAACTCGAATGATCCAAAATGCAGGTTTCAGGGGTGTAGGAGTTTAGGATGTTTTCCTTCAGTGATACAGTGATACAGTAAGAATACGAGTAATTAATGATTCACAATGATTCACATAGACGGTGGCTTAGTGGCTTTGTGATGCAATGCCCAAGCCTTAGCATTTTGTCAGCTGACAGCTGTTCCCAGTTCAGAATTGATTCATTCATATACATTGACAAAGAATAGCATAACCCAAATGGTTGCCGGAAATGGAATGTAATGTAAGCTAGCTTTTGCCCCGAAGTTTCTGACTGAAGACAGTTTGTGTAATTACAGTGAGTATCAAACACTGATGGGCAGCAATCTCCTCAATCGCTGTTTGGGGAGTGTTGCTTCCAGCAGATTATACCCATTGTTCAAATGATTCAGATCCCAAGCGGTGGACTATACAGTATATGATATGTCATGTAGTATTTGAGCCAAACCTTTTGATGGAGCTATTGTATATACAAATGTGACGAACACGTTGGTCTGATCCGCCCGAGTTGCGTTCGTCTGATCGGCCAAACCAAGGCTTTTTGAACCAAACCAACATCATGGCGGATCCAGTGTGCCTTGGCCGATCTCGGACCCGGTCCGAGGTGGAGAATACTCCAGACACAGCGGTTTGGAAAAACTCCAGACAAACCCTAAGAGCGATGGCCTCCACCCTAGGAATGCGTCCTTGCTCCTAGTAGTAAG